GGGGCGTCTACATTTTTTTCGCAATGGCTACAGTCTATCTTACGCCTATACTAACCTATATTATGGGGGAGGGGGAGTGTGCAGAGGTTTGTAGGGAGGTTGGAGAGTGAACCGCAAGACCAAATAAGTGCACTACTGCTCTTTTTGAATTGCATGAATTGTGTGGCACATCTACATTGTGGGAATAAAAATGAAATACACAAAAAACATATGTGGGAAATTGATTGAAACTGCAGTCACCTTTTCAAAATAGTAAAAAAAAAATTTAACGAACTCCATAATGACAAATTCATTCAATTTATGCATAAATCCGCAGAACATCCAAAATGGTCAAATTGGGCTTGGACTCGTCATCAATTGGGCTGAACCACAAACTGATACGCAAGAAGACAGAGATGCGGCACAATGAGTGATTGACTTCATGCTTGGATGGTGAGTACTACTAAAGACTTTCAAAAATTTGTTTGAAAAAAATTTGTATGTTCTTTTTCAATTAATACCTTAAAGGGTACTCGAATCTTAAATTTTCCAATGGATATTCGCAGGTTATTTGATCCTGCAGTTTTCGATAAATATCCCGACAGCATGAGAAGACTTGTAGGAAATCGACTTCCAGAGTTTACGCTTGAACAAGCTACAGACTTGATTGGGTCATTTGATTTTATTGGGATGAACTATTACACTGCTAATAGTATAGAAAACAGCCCTCCCACAAGAATTACCTTTTACAATCCAGAGTCCCAAGCTATATGCCATAGTAAGTCTATTTATAGCTTGAAGAATTAATTTTAGATCAACACAGTTTTGTGGATATTGAGTGATTATAATATTGTTCATTTTGCATTTTTGCAGTGCTTGGTGAGGAGGCAAGTTTTTCAACTGAAGCAATTGAGCTGATACTGCTTCCTTCAATTTGAATTGAGCTACAATTTATTGTGACAAAAAGGAGATTAAAAATCTTAATTTGGATGTATGAAATTTATGGCATGTAAAAAAAAAACTCTTAAGAAGCAAAACCTAGAGAGAAAAATTTGGAGTATATATGTATATTTTCCCCTTTAGTTGTGACTAATATTTCTCCCTTGATAATATTACAGGCAGGTTCTTCTTGGGTTTACTCTTATCCCCAAGGATTGGTGAAACTCTTGCATTATGTAAAAGAGAAATACAATAATCCCATCCTTTACATCACAGAAAATGGTATTCAGTTACACGAATTACCAACCATTTACCTTATTGCCATCCCTTTTTTCCTTATTAAACACTGGTTGAAAAGGACTTTAACCTAGTTCGCAATTTAATTGCAGGAATCGATGAGGTGAATGGTGAAAATTTGTCCATGTGGGAAGCCCTTTATGATCACGATTGAGTAAATTACTACAGGGTACATCTGGAGGCCCTTAAGCAGGTTATCTCGTAAGTGCTCCTTTTCTTTAAAAAGCAGATTGTGATGCACTTTTTAGCTGGTTTTATGAGCTAATAACTTTAGAAAACTTCACTTGCATAATGCATTAGGCATGATTTGGATGCATCAAAAAATTCTTCAAAATAATATCCATGAAGATGTTAATTGAAGAGCTTCAGTTTGATATTGAAAGGTATCTCACGTGTTTCCCTACATACTAAAGATGTCGATTTTATTAGACAAACTTTCATTTTAATATCATATAATATAGAATGAAACCTTCAAAAAGAATAACTATCTTACATTTACTTGTTAGGAATCTTAGCATTCTTTGATGTATTTAAATGTTCCAATTTCCAAGCAGAGAAGGGGCCAACGTCAAAGGATCCTATGCGTGGTCACTGACAGACAATTTAGAATGGGCTTCAGGCTTCGATTCTCGGTTTGGATTGAATTACATACATTTTCGTAGAGAACTGGAGAGGTATCCAAAACTAACAGCTGGATGGTTCAAGTTTTTCCTCGAGAAGTAAAACTGAGCAAGATTCTTCTACTCAGCGTGGCATTGGAATAAAATCGTGTTTCCCAAAATAAATCATGAACCCGAGTCTTATGTCATGCTCAGTTTCTCTGCTTCAAATGCCAGAGTTGGTTCCTTTATGTGTTGTTCTTTTATATCATACTAATGAAAGCAATCCGAGTGTTTGTTTCTCTATCACGGGTGTATCACTTTCTATGTGGAGTGATAATGTGGATTTAGTTTCGTTTTCTCATCTTCATGGGATAATTATGTGCCAATTATGTTGAGTAACATACTATTTTAATGAAATTTGTAATGTTTGAGTATTCTTTTAAATCTTGTCCCAAATACTTCCTATACAACCTCAATAAATGGTTAAGCAAATAAAGATATTTTCTAAATAACTACCATTTCTGTTTCGCTAGATCTCTTTTGAGTTCTCTGAGTGCAAAATGATTATCATTTAGAGGCTCAAGGTAGCAACTCAAGAAATTTTGAGCAATAAAATAAGCCAAAGTTGAGGTAAATATATAAACTAAGAAATGAATAAGTACACTATTCCTTGTTGTTCCAAGTTTTCTCAACTATGGAGACCTTCCTTCTGATAGGTGGTCGCATTTTCTTTGAAACTTGAACAGGACTAAGAATTACAGAAGACAAATTCAGTAACAAACGAATCATTTTATTTAGCTCCATTCTTTCATGTTTCATGGAAAATTGATCTTTCTAATTGTTCTTAATGCTAATTAAATTTGGTTGATGAATAAAAGAGTTCAGAACAACAATTCTTTTTGGGAGGTTTCAAACAATTGCAAGAAGTTTCCCTCTAATTTTTAAAGTTACATATACGTCCCTCAATTACTACATATATTACAAAATAGTTTGCATTACAATATAGACCAAACATGCTAAACTTTTCTTCAAATATCCTAAAATGCCCTTTATTTGTTTTAAAAAAAAATAAAGAATTTTCCTCATTACCTTGATTTCTTCAAAACTTGTGATAGACAATTGTAGAACCTCCTTCGACTATACTTATCATCCCCCTTGTTCACTTTTTTCCGCCTCTCTCTTTGTTTTCCTTTCTTCTTCACTTTCTTCCCCCTCCCAGTTTGCTTTTCAGTCTTTGTTAAGGAATAGAGCTGGTCAAGACCAAAGCTTCAATTGGCTGGCATAAGTTTGAGTTTAGATCATTCTTTGACAAAATGAATTGAGCTCGAACACCAAATCAAGCTTAATTAGTAAACAAATGAACACAAGCCTTGTTTGCAAATATTCATTTCGCTTGTCAGCATTTAAAAAATTTACTAATCACATTTATGTTTATCTTAGTAATAAGCCTCTATATTTGACTTTAATTTGTTTCATATTGCTCTACTCCTTTTATTTGTGTTCCGTATTCATCAATATTTCAGGGATTTCAAATTAAAACTAAGTCAATAGTTGAAGTTTTTGAGTTCATACTCGAGCTTAGCTTATTTTTGTTAAACAAGTTGAGCTCTAGCAATGAATTAGCACACAACGTTTTCAAATGAGCTCAAATCAGGTACAAATAATAAATGAATAACCATATTATACGAACACGTGTTAAATTAAGATAAGTAGCTAGCATTTTATACATCAACTTGTGTATATATGATGAGAAATATGGGCTGCTTAAGAGTCATGTTTCAAGGTTCAAGTAGTTCGAGTTTTTATTAGTAACTGAGTAGTTTAGTTTCCAGATTTCTAGTTAATTTGGTAGAAATAAACTCGATCCAAGATCTCATGTTGAGTTGGATCCAAATTTGTTGTCAAATCTGTTGGTTAATTGAGTCGTTTTGTTAGTTATTTCCTTGTGTAATAATCGGCCAGCAATAAACTTCTTAATTAGGTTGTGAGTTAATTGATTAATATTATGTAAGTTAAGTTGAGTCCATTAGTTTAGGTATAGTAGGATCATAAATATTTGTATCATTTCATTCAAAGGGAAGAAAGAAAGTTGACATTTTTTTTGAAAGTTTTCTCTTGACTTGTCACCGACCCCTTTGAATACTTTAGATGGGTTCTTAAGTGTTCATTTATGGCTTATCAATCAAATAAAGCATTTGATTGTGGCGCCTTCCTATCAACCTTAATTCGTCTTGAGTTATCCCTGATCGAATTAGGTTCTATTCCTTATATCAAGTGTTCTTAGAAGCCTTACTAACACAATGCGTTCTTTCTTAGTGGATGCATGTGTATAATTAAGATGCAGTTTTCAATATTTTCATTTTCTTTTCTTAGTGGACAGTTAAGCACGTGAGATTCTCATCTAAGCATCCGGAAGTATATAGAAAGGTCCTCCATGTCAACGGCAAGAAATATAGTTATAGCCATGGCAAAGGTCTTACCAGGGCAACACCTTCCAAACCTCGAAAATCTATACCAACATTAGAAATCTCTCTGGCTGAAGTTCCTCGGGCTTCTTCCAAAGCAAGGGTCTTTCCCGAATGCCTAAATATCATACCCCATTACCTTGATGTCTCAAGTTGATTCTCGATAAATTTTGGAAAAACTAAACCAAAGAGACATGTCAAACTATTTGGTGGATAGAAAAGTAGAACTTCAAAACTGTAATTGATAAAGAGGATGTAGGAAGAAGGCTTAATCGAGAGTAGATTACTGCTCAAAGAAAAAAGCTGTAATTATCTTAAGCATATCACTTTGATTAGATTAGTAACGTAGGAAGAAGGAAAGTTGATAGCCTTGACACATTTTTGTATTTCGGCTATAACTTCAGCTACAATGATCGGATTGAGATGATTCTTGAGACATTTTGAAGATAAGGCCATCTCAAAAAGACATGGTCCTAACAGCTCTTGGAGGAATCTTGCACCAGTATTAAAGGGAAGGGCGCCGCTCGGAACACCAGGCAACTGAATCACCAAAAGGCCGCCTCCGACAAGTTCTTCTGCTCTAGCATTCAGAAACCTGTTGAGATCTTTCCTGAACTGAGCAAAATATGCCAATGGTTCTGCACGTTATTTGTTTTAGTGAGTTTGAAAATATGTAAATGGATGCTAAACTGCACGTTATTTGTTTTATGACAACAATTCAGAAATTGTTGGTGCCCGAACAATATGTCTTGCTTTTGATCCATGCCAATGAAGTATGATCTCTAACTTCTTCTGGAACCTTGGAAACCCAATGGAGTGCATAAAATAAATATGCCAAATGAAGACTAGCATTGGGGGATAAACGCTCGTAGAAGGAGCCAAGTACAGCTGCAGCTAAGTATCTTAGGTGTGAAGGGAGGGATTTGAAGAGAATATTGAAATCATTGTCTCCAAGATCATTGAAGAAAACATGGAAGTTGAGGGTTGGGCTCTGTTGCAGAGATTTGTTCTTTAGCTCCACTGCTTCAACAACATTCTGCATTGCAAGGAATGTGTTTGGTCCACTGGAACAGCCATAATCAGCAATCACAAATGTCCTTGGGCAGTCGTTTTTGAATTCTAGCTTCTCCTTAATTGCTTGTAAAATTTCACCTCTTGCAGCTTCAATCACCCCTTTCTACAAGAAGTATGAAAAAGAATTCACATGCACAATGCCAATTAAGTGGCACGTGATGGAATGGTAAGGTAGAGAAAGCGGAAAAAAATAAAGTTTTGTGGATGATATGAGTGAAATTAATAGTACCTGATAGCTGGAATTTTGAGCATAGCTCTTAGAATCAGCTCCACCATTCATGGGGTGTGATTTAGGCTTTTCTTTAGCTTCTGTCCAATGATTTCCATTCTGTGGCGGCCTCACCTCCCCCTAAGGCGAACCAGAGGGTTCGACGAGTCGCCTGCCCAACTCTCGCTGGGACTCACTCACTCAATCATCTAACATCATCAAATATAATTCGTAAATAAACTTTACTTCTCGCATAAGCCAAGTATTTAAACAAACCGTACCATTCAACTTACTCTATCCAAAAGTACAATTTCAAGCATCAAAGAAAATGTCGAACTTAAAATACTTAAATTCAACTTTATTTACAATTTAAAATTCCGAATCCAGGGCACAGAAGCACCACAGGATTCACATTTTCCCAAAGACACAAAAGTCATCCAAAAGATACTAAAGTTTTCCCAAAGTACAAATACAAAAGTGGGCATTCAAAATATAACATTTCTTTTCTAGTTCTCCAAGACTTCATGCAATTCAGAACCTGTCAAGGAAAACAAATTGGAAGGGATGAGCCAATAGCTCAGTGGTGCCTCGAAACATGCAATTCACATAGGGCAATTTAACAAGTACAAATGGACAAGTAAGCAATTAACAATTTACGAAATCGAAGTAACATGACAAGAAAAGGATACGGGGCTCTCAGGAGCCAAAGTCCACGCGCTTGATCAGGAAATTTTTAGTAGTTGACACTCCGTCAACTTTCACTACCTAACCTCCATGTAGAATATTTCCTACTCTACTTGTTTCCTAGCAACGACTTCCCCCTTATTTTCGGACTCGACTCCAACACGAATTTTGCAAGCACTTTTACCAAGACGGCAGAGAGGTACCTCCCACTCTAATAGAGCGTGGTACGTGCATCCGTTTGGTTTATTTAGTCGACAAGACCACGCTCCAATCGACCTTGCAACACTTGTACTTGTGGCATTTCACACAATCACATAACATATAACATTTCATGATATCTCTAGCAAGTACTTTTAACAAGTAGTTCAACTAGCAGGTAAACACGATTCATGCAAGAGACACTCACCTCAAGTGAAGAGTCTAAAATTCCAAACTTTGATCGAGATGGTGCTCTTCACCAACTCCTAAAATCATACAAATAATTCACATAAATTTCCACTTTTGAGTTGGCGAATTTAACTCGAGTCAACTAGCATTTAATTTCACTCAAAAATCCCAAACTAGTATTAATCGTTTTCTCAAAGTGAAATCCACAAATTTCGAGTGAAATTAAATTTTGAGGTTTCTTTAAAACCAAAAACTTGCTAAATTCGTCAAATATTCCAATAACCAAGTTAAAACTAGTCGTTGGAATTTCTATAAAATAAAAACTCCTTAAGTTTGCCAAATTCCATTGACCAACTTGGTTCAAGGATTTTTTTTATGAAGGCAAAAACTTGAGTTTTCAAGAAAATTTCCAGATTTGGCATATTTCTCGAAATAGGGCATTTGGTCTAATAAAATTCAAGGTTATTGACCTGAAATGGACCTAGTAACAAAGGTTAATGCTAGAAAACATTTTCGGGACAATTTAGTCCACATTTAATCAAAATGAAATCCAAACGTCAAAATCATTTCTAATTTCAAACAAAATTTCTGTTTTGGTAGCCTCGTGAAGAATAAAATTTTGGCCCACTTTTGAACGTAAACTCTACTAGATTTTGTCCCCAAATAGAGCTATACACACCCCTTAACTAAACACAAGTCAAATTGGGTTCATGTTAACGTGAAAATTATTCAACATGTCTCATGCAAAGCTGGGAAAAATTTCAAGTGCATTCGATACAAGCAGTCCATTTCCTCTTCAATTTGTCCAAAACTTTTCAACTACCCAAAAGCTACATTTTCTCCCAAACAATACTACACATATTGGTAAACATGTATACAGCCCAAATAGTTCACAAATTTGTCGAAATCAACCCCCAAAAATTCGACCAAAATCTGGAAAATTTCCAGAATTTTCGGGTAGCTCAAAGGGCATTTTTCTCTTTGATTTTTCAATGAAATTTCCCATTGTACCAAAGCTGCATTTTCACCAAAACTACTCTACACATATAGGTGAACATATACATGATTTAAATAGCCCAATAACTTCACAAAATCCAGCTCAAGAATTCGGGTAACAATGGAAGAAAGTCAAGCCTGTTTGTGCGGCTATAGCAGAGCAGAATTTTCTCCTCTTTTTGCTCAACCATTTTCAACTTATAAGTCATACTTTAAGTCCATAACAATCACAACTAACTAGTCTAACCTCCCAACAAGCAATCCAGTTCATTACCTAAGTAAAAATTGCAAAACAACAACCGGTAACCAAGCTGGAATTTTGCCTTCCCATTTCGGCCAGCTCTCCATTTTCATTCTTAAAATTTCCCAAACATTTACCCACCACAAAACACACATATAAACACATAAAACACCTCTAGTTTCATCAATCATTAGCTTAGAGGTTCAGCAACCCAACAAGTTTCACCAACGCAAGTTAACATTTCATGAACCACAAGCTGCAAAATCTGAAATTTTTGGCTAAGGTGCTAAGCTGGAGTTTGTTACCTTCAAGTGGGTTGTTTACTAGCTAAATGTATTGTCTAGTTCCTCAAGTTGCTCCTAGAACCACAGAGGATCAGCCGATTCCCTTGCTCTCTGTTTCCCTCTCAGTCTGGCCAGTCACCGCAGCAGCACAGCAGCGACTGAAGATAAAGAGGGCTGGGGTTCTGGGGTTTTTGGTGAGCTTGAGGTGGTTCTGTGGTTGGTGGAAGGAAGAAATAGGAAGCTGGTTTTTCTCCTTCACCCTGGTCCGAACAACCCAGCAGTAGTAGCAGCGGCAGGAGCAGCGAGAGTAGCAGCAGCAACAACGATCCTCTCCTTCCTCTTGCTCGATCTGGACAGCAGCAAGAAGTGGAGGTGGAAGCTGAAAATGGAAGCTTGAAGACTGGGTGTGAGTGGCTGAAAATGAGAGGCTGTTGGAGCTTGGAAGGCAGCGGTTTCTGCTTCTTCTTGCAGCAGAGGAGCGGAAGTTTAGAGGGGTAACAAAAGGGTGGTAGCTGGTGACAAGATGGGAGGAAAATTGGGGTAGTCTAGGGAGTAGTCTAATTGACTTTTGGGCATGCTAATAACGGTGGGAAAATTTTGAATTGAATCGCGTTTACGCGCGAGAATTTTATCTACTGGTAGGAATTCCCCATTTAACACATCCTCAGCTTAATTGTACATTTTTTTTTTATAACCTTTACATATCCTACATTTCAACTTAGGGCTACATTGCGCGTCAGTGCGCAAAAATTTACCCTAATGCTTAGTCGAACGCGAACCGTCAAATAAATTTTTAAAAATTCATGTAAATTAAAATATAACATTTTTGTAAGTGAAAACATCATTACTAATATAAATACATATTATTTAATAATTTCAACATTTAAATAATATTTTGATTTTAATTTTCAAAAAGTAATGAAATTTTGAGATCCTCACACATTCTCCATATCTTTACTGTGTTAGGGTGGTTATCTAAAATTAACCTTTGGTTTGGTGAATACAATCACCTATTAAATCCAAAATCTATATGGCGATTATTAAAAAATAAATTAACAGTGAAATAGCGGAAGCGTACCTGGATTCATATCGACAAACTGATATTTGAATCTCCAAAGATATTGAGGTGGCTTTCCAGGTCAACATGTATTTGTCAATCCTTAGAAGAGCCCTTTAATATCTCTCTGGTATCTTTCTTGACGATGAGATATCAGGGAAGGATTTTTTTTGTGGTACTAGAAAATACGACAGATAGAATACATGTGACCTGGGGACCATAACCCTATTTATAGATAACAATCATGTTACCCTTTAGATCCCTACCTCAGCCCATCATAGAAATTGAAAATACTCTTTAATTGGACTTAAGTTTATTTGACAGTTTGTAACCCATAATTATTCACATATAAGTCCAAAGTAAGATTAAGGATCCAACAATCTCCCATTTGGACTATATGTGTAACCTTATAATTATGTTTCGCAATTAACCGTATGAGTTCAACTTTACTGTCATTACCACAATGTATCTGTAACCAATTTGATCCATCAATCATTCTAACATAGGATCAAAGCGACTTTTGTTACAATTTCGTAACTCGACCCATCAATGGTCACATATATTGATATAATTGAATGACATGAATCATGATGTGGATGTGTAGCATGAAAATTTCATATAATGTGATCAAAACATACCTATTTTCAACTGATCCATCTTAACTTTAACGAAATCAAACCATACCAAAGTTAGAGTGTAAATAAATCTAAACTTTATTTATGCATAAAATATTCTTAAATCATTAATAATCGAAAAGTATTATAAGAACATTTAAAATAACAAACTCTCATTAAAATTGTACATCATTTAATATCATGACACCCATACGAGTAGTATGCTTATGAAACATTTTGAATGGCAATCTCTTAATAAGCGGATCCGCACCCATGGAGTTTGTCTCGATATACTCTATCGATAACTGTCCACTCTATACTCTTTCTTTAACAGTCAGGAACTTGATATCTATATGTTTAGATTTCGTCGAGCTCCTGTTATTATTGGAATATAGGATTGCAGACTTATTGCCACAAAATAATTTGAGCGATTTTTCAATACTATCCATACATGTAATCTTGTGACAAAATTTTACAGCCAAATTTCATGGTTGGATGCCTCATAACAAGTTATAAACTCTGCAGCCATAATAGAAGATGCTATGAGGGACTGTTTAGCATTCTTTCAGGATATGGCACCTCCAACTAACAAGTAAACATAGCCTGACGTTGACTTCATAGTATCTTGGCATTCAGCATAATCGGAATCAGTATACCCAATGATCTCTAACTCATCTATCTTTCGATACATGAGTATGTAATCTTTTGTTTTCTGTAAATATCGTAAAATCCGTTTGGTTGCTTTCCAATAATCTAATCCAGGATTGTTTAAATATCTACCCAACATTCCAATAATGTATGCAATATTC